AGAGTGGCTTTGATGGGCACCTGGCATCTGGATCTTAAGAAAGCCTCAAATAGGTACCCAAGAATAACTTACCTCCTAACAAAGGATTCAAAGGCTTGAATGCAATACTCTCGTAGTTCATCATCATCTACATTACAAAACTTTACAACCAAAGGAATTATTTTCTCGAGATATTCACCTGGAAAAAGAAAAAAATTAGCAAAGTAATTACTCTCATCTAAAAACTTCTAAAGTTACAGATAATTTATGTATTTTTCTTACCTATTCTATGACCTGCTTGCCTACTGATAGCAGCAATACACTGTATATAGGTCCTAGTTGTTGACATGGAATCATTTTTAGACAGCTCTGTCAACAGATGTTCAATGAGGTCAACAAAAACCATATTGCCACAACTCATAACCAGGTGACCAAGAGCAATGATGGTTCTTTTCCTCACAGCAAGTCTGGGGCTAGTCAGCTGGGGGAGCAGACAGGTCAGAATTGAAGGATGGAAGTTAACAAGCAGTCCTCCTTGCCTTAAAACAGACAAAACACAAACTCAAACCAATTGAATCTAGATAACTTTGTTCATATACTGTACAGCAATTCCTTTAAATATTCCCAAAACATCACAAAGATTCCAGTTAAGTCTTTAAATTTAAGCTTTTGGAACTTTTAAAAGAAGAAATGAGTTTAAAATATACCCTCAAAGCAATAAACATTAAAATAAGCTTAAAACTATAGTTCTGAGAAGATTAAATAATAAAGTAATCGATCTATCAATCAACTTATCTTCAATACATTCGCTTCTTTTTTTTTCCCTAAATGAAGTTTCACCTGTACTTAATACCTTACCATATTATTTCACATAACTTAAAGTAATTTAAATTTAACATTTGGAAAATTAAAGTTCAAGCTTTAAGGAGTATTTATCAGCATTCACCAGCGTTTTGGAAAAGGGATGTTTACCTGCTCAGCATATCAGCCATGATATCCAGTGCCTCCAGCTGAACAGACACATCTTCCTGCTTGGCTATAGCACTAGTGAGACGCCCTGTGATCTTTTTGCAAACATTAGCTGCTAATGCAGAACCTGAAAGTACAGCAAAACCTCAGCATTTTCATAATTTAAAAAAAAAAAAAAAACAAAACAAAACAGTTTCTAACACCAGAGATCATGTTTGTGACTATGGAAAGCAAGCTGATCTCAACATAAAGCAGCTTTTCCCACCCAACAAAACAAGCTTGAACAGCCAGTTTGTTTGCTAATATAATGTATACTCTGCATTAGAGCTGAAAGACTATCTATGTAGAAACATACTGAGAAGGAGGGTTTCTTAATTGTCCCATAAGGTATATACAACAGAAAGGACACTGCTTTCGGCAGGGCAAGCAACGGAAAATGAAGGCCAAGTGTCCTGGTTTCAGCTGGACCAGGACACTAAGACAAGTCTAGAGCAATAAATGAAAGGTAAAAATAAAGGAATAAACTGAAAGGTAAGGGGAAGCACAGAAGTAGATAGAGCCACCTCTAAAGAACAGCTGTATAACAAAAAAGCAAAATAACATTATTTTGCACAAGAAGCTATTTAAATAATAAATACCTGAAATACTGCTGAAACATTTGAGAAAGGGGGAAAAACGTATACCCAAAGTACTTTAAAATTCAAGCAAAAATGTCTTTACCACAACTCCATAGTTTCCCCTTCCCCCAACTGTCTAACATTGTTCGGAGTAATTATGAGACAAGAAGAAACTCATGTCATGGTAACAGCTACCCAATGGCTAGAGCTCATCTTCATTTGCATGAAGTTTTTTTAATCACACTTTGGGAATTTCAATGTGAAATTAATACCATTCCAACCTATATTAAATCTAGTTTATATATATTTATGGCTTATTCTTAACTATATGACTAAAACTAAACATAACAATTGCACAGTCAGATGTGTTACCATAGAGGCTAAGAAAAAAAGACAATCTATGTTTGAGTTGAGAGCAAGAAATAACACCTAGGTTCCTTTTGTATTAAGAATACTAATTATAGTGAAAGATTTTGCTACATTTTTATTTGAGCTTTACCTCCACCCCAAAATCTCCTTTTGTTTTGTGTAAGCAAACAAAAGAATAAAAGCTTAAATTGATTTACTTAAAATTAGTTATTTATTTGAAGTTTACACATCTCACTACTGCTTGATAAAAGCAAGACTTACATGTGGACTTTCAATAAAGGATGTTAAAATCAGAGCTTTTTTTTTTAATTTAAGAAACCTCGGTCTCTAAAAACTGCATTTCCAAAGCCTTTTTAATCACTTCTCTATTCTCATTCATATCCTAAACTAAGATAACTGAAAAGCACTTGAATAAAAAAGTAATGCCATTAACTGATGAGTTGTTCATCATTACTCTCTCTTTTGGAGGAAAGACTACCTTCATTTAAAACTGCAGGTACACATTTCAGTAATTTAACAGACAATTGTTAGAAACACAAGGTACTTTCCAAAACACCTACCAGAAACCAAGACAAGAAATCAGATCAAAGAAAAATACCCGTTACAATCAATTTTAAAGTATACTATCAATCAAAAAGCAAGATGAGATTTAGCTATTACTACAGCCTAGAAACGTTCCACCACGCAATTATTAAAATAGGAGCTTTTACACTCAATTTTTTATACTGAAGTTCATATACTGTAAGTTTGTTTTTCACATTAATGCAATTCCTCAGTAAAAAAAGTTTTTAAACTAGTAAAATCTGGAAATACAGTCAGAGAAGAAGAAACTAAAAGGATATTTGTGCCACACATTTTTCCTCTGACAGAAATTAGTTCCAATGTTAAATGAACTGAATCCTCTTCACCAAAGGACACAGCTTTTGCATTTTTTTAATGAGTAATGAAATGATAAAACTAGATAATCTTGAATACAAAATGCCTTACCACTGGAAGCTGGGGGGAGTTCTCCAATCACAGTTTTAAGGCCAATGCTTGAAATGTCACGTAACTGTTCTTTATCTGAAAGCATGTTTGTACAGAGGGTATCTACAATGGTCTCCACTTGATACTCCTTCACTTTACTCACCAAAGGGCCAAGGCTGTATAAGCAGAAGAAAAGCATTAAATCTGCAACCTTAAATAAACCCCCTCATTTTATTTCAGTATTTTGCATTCAAGTCACAAACTTAAGGTTGTTTTTGGTAGCAATACAAAGCAGAATTTTAAAATCTGAAAGCTTTCAACTGGTTGGGTTGATAACCTGTCTCCATAAATCTACTGACAAAATACTCGTTTAGTACATGTTTTTTATCTAGTGGTGAAAATGGTTTTTGCATGACTATTCTGCTTCAGTCTCAAAACCAGAGCCCCTCTTACTTCTCACTTAATGCCAAGATTTATAACAAAACTTACCTAGCCAGAGCCATCAGTTTATGTGCTTGACCATCAGTGCCTGCTTAGTTCACAGACAAGTAAGCAACCTTCTTAATTATTGCATCTTTATTCTACACATCACTTGGATTCAATCTGATATACACTCAGACTCATTCTATACCTTACAGTGCCTTCCTTAATAGAATGCAAACGGTAAAATAAAAAACAATGACATGGCGTGCCCTCCTTCACACAGACTCCAAGCACCACTATACACGGCAGCACATAGTAATATTTCCTCTTTCCTCTGAATTGTGAGTTTTTAGTCATTCCAACTGTTTTGAGGATCATAACAATCTTGTATTCTTTTGTCAAATGCTCCCATTTGTTCAAAATACTAAAATCACAGATGCCTTAGTAAAGTCTAGTTCATTGCTAAGAAATATAGCATCCTTCCCTGTCTTCCTAGCCCTATCACCAACTTTCAGCATCCTTCCATTTTTAATGTTCTGTTCCAAAAGGGAAGTTATGCAAAAACAGAGCCTTATATTGTCTCTATTTCCTTCCACTCACCTGTGAAAAACCTCCATAAGAACTCCAAGAACTTACTCTTTCTCCTACTACCCCTCCCACTTCTCACTCCAAATTTGCTTATCTAGTTTTTCCCTATTTTTAAAACACCTGCCTTCAGATAAAGCATCTCAGAAATGGGAAAGTAATTTTGAAAAACTTTAAATTACCAATTCAACTCCCTCAAACATACTACATTAACAACAAACACATCAAATTCTGGAAAAAAAAAAAGCTGCTTTTTTTTTTTTTTAAACAAGCTGTGCTATAGGCATTCCTACCATGTTCCATCAAAAACCAGTACAGTTAACCTTACGCATACAGTAACTACTCTCAAAGACATAGCTTCCTTGTTTTGTAAGCTTCCTTTCCCTGTATGTTGATCTTGCCAGCTATTCTCTCTTTAATTCTCTGTGGTGATATCCATAATATTACTATCCAATCAAGAAAGCATGCTTACTAGTGAGACATCAACACTAGAAGCGAGATGTGACATGAAGCTAAAGTTCTACCAAGCTTAGGTTCTTCACTGACCCTGACAGAAGCGAGGGCAGGAGGACATGGAGCTGTGTGCAACATCACATAGGAGAAAAAGCAATGGCTTGAGGCAAGAATGGAGACAGCAGTAGTGAGGACCATCTACAGAAAATGTGGGAATCATGAACTGGAAGAGTAGCCCACCAGCAGAATTAACAGAAACACAGATGTATCTCCAGAAAACTACTATTTATTTTCTCTTCCATCTGAATCAAAGGGATAATGAATAGCATTCTGACTTGGTCTTGTGCACAGACCATCCCCTAGTTGTTTTGCAGCTGCTCCAGACGTCCCACCAAGGAAGTCCTACAGCCTGATTCTCAACAGCACCTCTATGTTTCTCCTCCTATGAAACACACTTCAAATTATACACATCATCATCCAATTCAACTTCAGCCACAGTGAGAAAGCACAGAAGATTTTCAAGAAATTTTACGTGTGCATTCTCAGTGTGAACTTCGATGAGCGGTAAAGTGTGAGGATTTTAAATGAGCCCTTTATACCAAAACAATCTGGTTAAGATTTCGAAGAGTAGGAAGACACGCGCAAAGTTGTTATTTTTTAGGAAGAATTTTTCAAAAGTGTAAGTTTTGTTGTTGTTTTTGTGAAAGTCAGGGCCTAACTTGCAGTACAGAAGCCAAAGCGAAGCCGTGCAATGGTTCCATCAGATTTGTGCTGTGAGGACAAGAGAGCGTTGAAGTGGTTTCAAGTGCTGAGTTAAGAAGCTATGTCTCCTACTGCAACTGCCAGAGCCAAGCATTACGGATCAGAAATCATGGATGTGTATGTGGCTTACAAGGGAGGGTCCAAAGTTTGTTATCTGCCCTTCAACGTTGTACACAATGTACACAGCCAACCTCTCTATAAATCAGAACTATAAAACTGAATTATGTGGAAATCAATGTATGAACAAATGCAGAAAAAGGAGCATCTTAAAGCCAGTCACAAACTGATTATATTAGGACTACATTAGAATGTAATGCCTCCGCATAAACTCTAGTTTTTTCCACACTGAACTTTAATACTGTATACATCAAAGCTAACTGAGACTAAAATGATGTCTATAAGGTTAGTAAACACTAATTTTGGAGAGCTGAAGTCAAACTGAAGCCCTAGAGAAAAAATAAACAAACTAACTTGTTACCAAAACAAGACTAAGATCTAGAAAGCAAAGTTTAAATTTTCAAATATATGCCACTATTCACTACAAGTATGTCAGACTTTTGAGACTGCAATGATTTAGGACCACGACTTTATTGCAATGTCAGAAGCATGCAGAAGTTTTACAAGCAGATGATGAAATTATTTGTAAACTAGATGATTAACAATAAAACAACTTTCAAGTAGAAGTATCTGCCTAGTTTAACTCCTTGTCAAGTGCAAAGGGAGAATGCTGTCCAAAGATGGACTGTTTTCCCATGTTTAGAAAAAAAAAATAGTAATATTTGGAAAGTTGTCATATATTAATTTGCACTTAAATTTTCATTGATTTGAAACAAATAGCAATTACCAAACTTTTAAAACAGTTCATCCACAAGTTAGTTTGATAAACAAGGGGAAGTATTTTTTCCCCCTCCAAAAAACTAGCCTTTCAAAGCATTTACAAAAACAAAAGAAGCTCAAGACACAAGGAAAAAGGTGGGAAGAGAACTTCTAACTTCATACATTTGACTGTACTATGTAATAATGGAGTTGCCGGACTGTGGTACAGAGCTAAACCCTGATTAACAAATATTAGTATGCAGCTCTAATAAAATTAATAAATTCAATACATCATATTCTAATTGTACCAGATTACTGGAAAGAAACTATCTGGATGCAAAGTACTTTCTTTCAGACCTTAGTGATTACAATGGGGGAAAAAAAATGTTTTGGTTTTATTTCATAAGATTTTGAAAAATATTCTGAATTAAGAGCAAGTTTCACATTAAAAAAAAGCACAGGCATGAAGTCAACTGCACAAAACTTTGGGGGGATCATCTATAGGCAAGCAGAAATTCTGTCCAAGCTAGCAAGATACTAAGGTCTCAGTGAAGACTATTATTCTGAAAGTAGATAGTCCAAAATCCAAATTAAATTACGCCACTCAGGCAAAAACTCACTTTACACTTAGTACTTAAATCAGAAACCCACAAGTGTTTTAAGACAGAAAAGTCTTTACAGTCTAAAGGAGAGTTCCTTTCTTAATTTATACGTATTGAGAGACAAGCACACAATGTACAAGATGACAAGCGAAACGTTTTTTCTCGTTTTACTGGAAATGGCTCTGGAGTTTAAGCCTAACTCTCCAAGAACACAGCTGGACCCTGGGTTCACTATTAGCTAATAAAACTGTCAGCCAGGCAGCTGCAAGGGAACACACAGGTCACAGATCACTATTCAGAAGGAAAGGCTCAAGGCTATGGCATTCAGCACAAACACACAGAAGTTAGTTTAGGAGCTTAGTACTGTATTTTCCAAGAATGACAGCAAGACAACCCCACATGTTTACTACCTTGCTGGTACCGCTGGGGAAAAAAGACAAATTCCTGCATTGCTTTAGCAGTGGAGATCTGAGGATGTGTAGCTTAATTCCAAAGTGCTGTTAACAAGGACATGTTATCTTGTATTAATTTTACTTGTTGACCTATACATGCTTTGCTTTGTATTATCTCACCATTTTTTAATGTGACTTGGCACCTTGGACCATATTGAATTAACTTCTGAATGTGTAGTCAAACTTGACAATGAATTTGTTTGTTTTGAACAAGTCTAGCAATCTCCACTTTTGGTCAGAGCAATTGTCCTTTCGAGTGTGCAAAAAAGGGGAGAAAAAAGAGGAAGAGTCTGGTCAAACACAGTTTAGAAGCACCTACAGGGTAAATCCAAACCCACATATTCCAAGTTCCTCTGAAACTCAGTCTTCAGTCTCAGACCATAAAGTTTTCCATTCTTCCTGCTACAAAGGCTCCCAAACACACTCGGAGCTCCCCACACCTTTCAGACTTCCTGCCTTAGAAGTCCTCTCAGTCATTCCAAAGCCATCCCTCTCCACCATACAGCTCACACCATAGGACAACTGTAGACCCTCAGAAATCATTGTTCCACCCGATCTGGTCACCCATTTTCTCCACTCCTGAAAAAAAGACAGTGTTCCAACACCTCAAACTAAACTGTTATACACAGCTGTTGGAGGGAGCTAGACTGGAGGAGTAGGCGCCGATTCAGAAGACTACAAGCCAGTAATTCCAGCTGGACTCAAAGAGCTGAGATCTATGGCCTTCCCTCTTGGACAGCTAGCAGACATGGCTCTATACAGTAGGACAAAACCAAAATACATCTTCCATCCCAAAACCTGTTGTATGTACCCCACCGCTGCTACACTTCTTTCCCAGGTCCAAGAATTCACAGGGGCAAGAGCTAATTATCATGAAACATATCCAACAGAAGCAGAAGGCAGCAAGCAAGAAATGCAGACAGAAGAAGGTCACGAACAAAGGAGATTTATCTACTATATAAAACAAGCCCTTGCATTAAAGCACTAAGTGTGACTTACAATACGACAGTAACCAGAGTAAGGTTCAAAGTTTTGGCATTAGTGGTCTGTCACCATGTTAGGCAAACTTAGGAGCTTCTCCTT